ATATTTTGGGTGAAAATAAAATTCTGTACAGCTGTGACATAAGTATAGTGAAATTCATAAAGAAGAAATTTAAAACTGTGATAAGAAAATACAAGTTTATTGTTAGCTGTTAACTGTCCCCTAGCTCCTAGGAAAATAGTAATTTACATCTAGATGGGGTTTTAAAACCAAATACTAAATAGCATTGTCTTTATTCATGTATGAACACAAAGTATTACTAAGTAGCTACCAGATGACATTCTGACAATGATGTTAAATGAGCTTTGAATAAAAATCTGAGATGACCAGGTGAATGTTCTTCTGAGCAGAATGTAATTACCTTGGAAGCTGTCTGAAAATGACTAGAGAATTAGAAAATTTAGTTCTGACAGTAATTTCTGGAGTTTTGGGGTTTAATAAGACAGCAAATGGCTGACAGGATTGGAGCACAGCTTGCAGCCACGGGATGGGAGGTACTGATCTCACAGAAGTTCACACTGACAATGCAAATTCCCTGTAAATGATATGACAGGTCAGCACTGCAGTAGCTGACTTTTTATGCTAGATTAGAGCTCCCATTGCATGGAGAGCTAGGTATTGTCTGTCCCCTCAAAGCTGACACAAAGCTGGCAGAGACTCCAGATTGCATGTTCATTGGCAAGTCAGGCACACTGGTGTGGCTGCTCAGAGCCCAGATTTCACTGAGCACTGGAGACAAGGCCTGGCTGCTGAAGGTCTGCAGGCCCATGGAGCGTGTCTGGATGCTGGGGAAACAAGATACATACAGTATACAAGAAATTTTGGTGTCATGCAGGTTTGAAAAGTCCCTTCACTAAGTAAATTTTAATGTGACTCTATAGCCCAAACCCAGCCGCATGAATAGGCATGAAGCAGATGTTTCTGGAGGGCCAGTTAAGTGTGACACAGTGCATCTAGTTTAAGATAAAACCTGCACTTTTTCCAGCTGCCTGTCTTTGCTCAGAGTTGTGCAAACCTCATTACAAGGTTTTTTTCCATGATAATTTATTTAAAATTGGCATGGAAGACTCTGACTACTCTTACTGTAGTTTGAGTACATTGGGTAGTTAGGCAACATTGCAATCAAGTGAACTATGATGGTATCATAATTAGGACACACATTTTCACACACTTTCTTTAGAAATCTAGAGCAGGAAGCCAAATCAAAGTGAACAATGAAAGCAAATGAAGCATGGATACATACTGACTCAGGCAATCCCTGCTTTCTACTCTCCTTCTGAACTGTCTTCACAGGGCAGTTCTGCTTCAGCTCTTGACTTTAATTGGAGCCCAGCACAAAGCAAAAACCATCCCAAGGCTTGTAAACCTTTCTTTCAGCTAGAGCTATTTGTCCATGTATCTTTCCATGGCAGCCAAACTAATTACCATGGCATGTCTTTCCAAGTGACAAAACTTGCTTGTCTGCCAAGATAAAACATTTGGAGGGCTGTCAAGTGATGTAACCTGGGTACACCTCTGTATTTCTGTATTTTCAGTGCCATTACACAGAGCTCTGTTAGTGATTTGAATTCAGGGCATGTTGTGTGGTGATTGGGTGAAGCCAGACCGGTCTCTTCAGACTAATACAACCCCCCACAGGAGTCAGGACTGATGTGACTGGCCTGGCATAGGTTTTGTAATGAAGACTGCTGCTCTGTTAGTGCGATTCTTAGGTGAAATCATTAGAAAAGCTGGCAAAACTAGTAGCACAAGAAGCTAGAAGGGAGCACAAAGCTGCTGGGACCAGACATGTTAGAAGAACAGCAGCTCACTGCCATGACTTGCACTGCCACTTCCCCTGTGCCCACGGTCCTTCATCTTCCCCAGGAGGGCACAGAGCAGTCACACAACACCCAGGCAGTCCCTGGCCGTGCTGCTTGGCACATCAGTAGCAGCCTAATGACATTGACCTACGGAAATGGGACTGGCACCAAGCACCAGTTACAAGTATCAACCATAGCCATCTCTTCTGCTTAGGAGCAGTTCAGATTTGGATAATAAGAAGTCTCAGTGGATTGTGTTATTGGCACCTGTACTACCCAGTTCTTTAAAGGGACTGGTCCAGAGTCTTATCACAGTTGCCTATGTGCAAGCCTGATGCTACTCCAGAAATACAGTAGACTAAATGAAAATTTAAAAAAAAAAATGGCTAATTGCTTCCAAATCTTCATCAATCCTTTAAAATCAAGAGGTTTTTCTGCAGCTTTTCCTCTTTTAGTGGAAAAACTCCTCCAGATGGCCATCAATATAGCTCAAGGTCTTGAACTAGCAATGTGTAGGCTGTCAGTTTTCTCTTTTCCTTTTTGGAATGGTAACATAAGTTCAGTAAATTTTGCAGAATCTATGTATCTGTTTTTGTTTAGTTATTACTAACTCTTGCTAGTAATTACAAAGTGCCCAGGCTGGGCTTTTGAGGAACCAGTCTTAGTTTCAGCCCTTCACCTTCTTTTAGGACACCCAAGTTTTAGCACTGTCTTGGAGTAAGTTCCTTCAAGATATGGGACCACAGTTTTTAAGTTCTAAGGCTCCATTTTGTTGGGGGCTGGAAAGAAAAACACCGTGGTAATATCTCCCTTCAAAGCACAATATTCAGTCATTCTTATTCCATAGTCATATCTTGGCTACAGCTACAGTTTGAATTCAATTAAAAGTTTTTAATTGGTCATCCTTCCAAACACTTCCAAACTGTCATTCACTTTCAGATGCATCTAGAGATCTATTGTCCTGACATAATTTTAGTCTGAGACAGAAGTCAATTACACTAATTGTTCAGCAGGAATTAACCTCTTATGCATCATCAGATTATTACTGTTGCTAGGTTCATTTTGCAAAGATCTTTCCTTTATCTGTACATAAGCAAAGCTAAGCACCAGCACTTGTGATTCTCAGTACTGACTGGGAAATAACTACTTTATTGGAATGAGAACAGACATGTATATTGAATGTACTTCTAAAACTGATTGGAATATTGAAATAGGCTGCAAAAAGATAGGTCACCTTCAGCTATGGGATAATGACACTGATTCTCTGATTAAAAATGGCTTTGCCATAAACACAATTATTAACAAAGTAAATGGTTATCTGTGTGTTGACAGATAGTAAAACAATATCTAAAGAACTTTTAATCAAAGTTGATGCTTTTGAGGTCGTTCTGAGGATGTGCCATTATACCTCCATTTAAAACTCACTTGTGCATGTCCATTGAGAAAATGGAGTGATCTGGAGGATTTGAGAGGCGTATGTGTACGTGCAGGAGCCAGCTCAGGTGTATGTGAGAATGTGCTGAAAGACAAGCTCCCAAGGGACATTCTAGGAGTTCTAGGTCAGCTGGAAAGGAGATGAAATCTGACTGTGAGGACAAAGCAGAGAAGTTGGAAGGAAGAAGGACAGGCAACTTTTTGGTATTGGATAAAAGGACTCTTGATGATTTGAGTGAATAAATGTTTTCTTATGCTCAGAAAATATTATTTTTATGTGAGGAAAACTTCATTAGGGGTGTGGAACTCATGGTCTGCTTTCCCTCTGAACTGAAATTCCAGCAAAGCCCTGGATTTTGACAGGTCATGTCAGAGAAGAATCCTGAGACAAAGTGAGGGAAGAGCTGGGGCCAGGCAGATCTGGCAGTGGTGCTGGAACTCACACTTTTTCCAGACAATTTGAAGGACAGACTGTACTCTCTCCCCCAGAAGCAACCACAAGAACTGAATTGGAATAATAATACAGCCACTTAGAAAATTGTCTCATCAATAAAACAGAAACATTCACTGGCAGGTTTACCTGCATGGCTTGTCAGCCATCCTGCCAAAGCATTTCCTGAAACTTCCCTGAAATGTCCTATATGGAAATTATCTCCATATACAGAAGTTGTTTGCTTCCTTTAAATTGATGCGGCATTTCCCACAGCATTATGTTTGACTTATGATTGTATTCTGCACAGAAATGTCAGCACAGACATGAGGAGCTGTGCAATTAATTTTTCGGGAAGGGCAAATAGAACCAGTGGGGTAAAAAGAGCAAGTTAGCATAAAACATAAAAGTGGGATGATAGAACTCTGAACTATGTGCAGAGGTCTGGGTCTCAGTATACAATAGCCTGATGGAAAGAATGATGATACAGTGAAGAAAAGAGAAGGCATCTAAAATAAACTGGGGCAGGGCACAAAAACAGTGATGTTACAGGAGCTACTACTTCAAGTCATTTTGTGTGTGCCAGGACCACCACACGTACAGTCCTGCGGCTACAGCTACACTAAAGCCTGCTGTAAAGTTTAATCAAATCAATTGTAGTTTTCCTCTTGCAGCATATCTCTAGCAAGACATGGCATTGACATAAGGAATCAGAGGTAAAAATCTACCTAAAACGGAAAAGGATTTTTTTAGCCAGGAATGCAAACCTGGCTAAAAACCTAACCTCAATCTTGTTGCTGATGACTCGTGTGCTTTTCCATGCCACATTTACACGTGTTTGCTGTACCCGCGTACAGACTGAAGTCACTGCATGTTTGAGGGTCCTTCCACCCGGGACAGCCCCGTTCCCGGTTAAACACCTCAGCGGAGAGGGGCGGGAGCAGCGCTCCGGGCAGGGGTCACTCTCGGGAACCGGACTGCGGAGGCCGACCCCGGCCCACGTGGCTGTACGGAATTCACAGAGGGCTCTTCACTGCTGCCACCTGCCCACTCCCACCGGGCAGCAGCCCTTCCAGACTCGCCGGGCCCCCGGCTGGGCGGCAAAGGCCGGGTGGGTGCCAGGGCGCGGAGCCGGCGGGCGGGCGCTGAGGCGGAGGCGGCCCCGGTGGGCGCAGCGCTGCTGCCGCCAGCCCCCGGGACGAGGTCCCGCTCGCTCGGACCGCGTCATTTCGGTCTCGGGCTTCGGTGCGGTGTTTGGGCAGGGGAAAGGGGCGGGGGAAGGCGGCTCCGGACCGCTCCGAGCAGCGGCGGGAGCCAATGGGTGCCGGCGCGGCCCTGTGACAGGCGGGGCGGCCGCTGCCCCCGCCGGGCGGGGAACCTGCACGGCGGCGCTTGGCAGCATCATCCGCGGCTGCGGGGCTGACACACGCCTCCATCCTCCTCTCTCCCGGCAGCCGCTCACACGCGCCTCGCCGCGGGCGGAGCGGAGCGAGGGGCGCCGCGGCAGACAAAGCAAAGATGGCAGGGATCCTCGCCTGGTTCTGGAACGAGCGGTTCTGGCTGCCGCACAACGTCACCTGGGCGGACCTGCAGAGCACGGAGGAAGCCGCCTTCCCGCAGGCGGAGGACCTCTACCTCGCCTTCCCTCTGGCCTTCTGCATCTTCATGATCCGGCTGCTCTTCGAAAGGTAACGCCGAGCCCCTCGCGCCGCCCCGGGCTTGGCTGGGCTGGGCGGGCCCAAGGGCAGCCGCGGAGCTTTGTCAGCCGGGCGCCTTCCCCCCCGCCGCTGCACTGCCGGCCTTACCGGGCCCTTGCGTTGTCCCTGCCCCTCGGTCGGTCACGTAGCGGGCCCGATGCAGGAAGGTGGAGGGGCTCGAGAGGCAGCCGGCGCGCTGTTCCTGCCGCCTGCGGCGCGGCCCGGCGCGGGCGCTAGGAGGCGAGGTCTGCCCGGGAATGGGCGCAGCCCTCCCGCCACCTGCGCCGGCCGCGGCGGGCGGGGACACGGGCCCTGGGGCACCCGTGCGGATCGGGGCGCCTGCCCGCGACCCTCGGGCTGCGGCGGGGCCCTGCCCGCCCCCCTCACGGAAGCTCGGCCAGAAGAGTGGCGGCCGGCCACTCCGCTGTCCGCAGCGGAGCCCGCGCTGGGTCCGGCAGCGCCCGGGAGCGGGGCCCGGCGGCTGTTCCGCTGTCCCGCTGTTCAGCGTGGGGCCTCGGGTGGGAAGGGGCAGTTCTCGGTGAGCTGAGCAGAGCTGTGCGTGCCCAGTGCAGATGGTATCGGTGAGCTGTGCCGAGTGTCGGAGCACTCCTGGGGCTGTCGGAATGTGGAAGCTCAGTGGTGAAACGCGCCAGGCGCTGTTCATCTCTGAACCAAACTCACCGTTCTTCGAGGCTGCTGAACTCATTAACCACGTTTCACAAACACGTAAATACGTATATATGTATATTTAAACATGAGGCGTCAGGCTAGCGGTCGGTCGGCAGGGATTTTCTGTGTTTTCTGTGCGTGTTCCCATCCCAGCGGGTGCTGAGCAGGGGCCGCCCGGCGCGGGGGCAGCTGATGCCAGGTGGGCGCTCGCCTGCGCTCGCTGCTGCGCCCCTGACAAAGGTGCTGCTCCCTCAACAGCTGAGAGCAAAAGAGCGATTCCCTATGCCAACACCTACGTGTTTTCAGTGTTGTTTTCTCAGGCATGGTATTAGGGTAGTCAAGGAAGATAAAGGAGGATCGGTAGTTACTACATGCCAGAGAAGGGCTGTAAAGATACTTTAAAAATGATAAAAGAGGTTATCTGCCAGGTACTGCTTCAAATTTCCTAAGCATTCCCTCTCCCTGGTTAGAACTTGCCTGTATTCCTAGCTTGGTTGAGAGGACCATATTTGTTTTGAAAAATAAGCTGTCACAGGCTGTTATCTTCTGTGTTGCTTTACAGATTTACTGAACAGCAAAAATTGTCATCTGCCTGAAAACCTGAGGTTGTGAGAAGTTAATTGAAGCAATTAAGTTAAATACTGCAATATGGTTACAAGTCGAGTAATGAGTACAATTACAAGTATTTAGATTATGTCAAATAATTAATCTTTTTTTGCAATCTGTATGATGTGTACTTCTGAGTGTTGAAAGCGGGTGCATGATATTGCATCTCTTGTCATCTGAACTGCAGTAAGCGTCACAGCAGGACTGTGTTTGATGGATGAACACCTAGTCAGAGAGATAGTTTCAGCCTCAAGTTTAACTCACGTTTCTGCTAATCCTGATGTGGCTGTTGTTTGCATTGTAGAAGCTGCTCTGATTATGTAGTAGTTTGTATCCACTTACTTGGGTTATTTTTCTTCATTCATTTAAAGTAATGTTTAGTTTTGCAATGCATTATATTTTAAGTGTTAGTTATACATATAGATGAGAATACCAGTATTTTTTAAATTCTCTTGTATTCATCAGGCAGATTTTGAAATTTAAATCTAGAAGTGTGTTCTGCTAACCTGATTGTAGGTGAGAGACCTCCAAAGATGTTTTATTAACAATTACTTAGGTATGGGGTTTTTCCTTTTAAAATTAAAATCAATTTCATAACTCCCCTGTGAGAGTAGGATCAGGCTGTTTTGTGTGGGATTAATCCACATGGCATGGTACAACAGTGATTTTTCATATAGAGCATTTTATTAAAGCAAGCAGAGCAAAAGCAACTGAACCTGTTTCCACTGATGAAAGCAGGGGGATTGTGTTTGACTTTGAAGGGGGGAAGGATCAAGCTTTATTATTGCTTATTGCTAATTGGTTTTTTCAGATTTCTGTGCTTTGGTTGTTGGGAGCTACAGAAATCCTTCATGCACATCATCAGTTAAAGGTCTGAAATTATGCATGATTTAGAAGGGGGAAGAGAGGAATATCTTTAAAACTGATTTTTTTTCTTCTCTATATTAAAACATAAGGTTTTTTTAAACTCAAGTTGTGGGTGACTGATGAATGTGCTGCATCCTGCAACATACTCTTACAGATGTTTAGCAGCTACAGTGATAGCAGTTAAAGAAGAAATAAAATTAGATTGTGTAGCACATTTTAAAAACTTGCAGATTTATTTTAGATCTATCACTGTACTGTAGAATTTGTAACATCAATGTATTGTCTATTTTGTTTTGTAAGATACCCTAACTCTAGTACAGGTGCTTTTGGTACATCGGTAGGTAAGCAGACACAAGGTGTTAAGAATCTGATTATGTGTTTTATATCCATTATTTTCAGACTGCTTCATAGCAGCTGACTGCTAGGCTGCTGTAGTTAGTAAGGTTTATTCCTCTGCTTCATAGGAAGGGTTACTAACTTCATGAATCCTCACAATAGTAACAAATACAGTTTGGGGGAGGTGGACTTTACATGTCTTTGCTTACGAAGTTCTTGACATGTTTGGGGGATGCAACTTGCTGTGCTGAAAGTTGATTTTATGTTTCTATTCTATATACATATGTATTTGTGTGTATGTGTTTGCAGGAGGAATTGAAATGATAGAACTTGGAAATTTTGTACATATACATGCATTAATTACAGAGTTAATCCTAGGAAGATTGTTGTTGTTGTTTGTTGCTGTTTTGATGAATCAGCTAACCAAGACAAGAAAATAAGCTAGACACTTCTTTTTTTTTTTTTTTTTCCTCCTTTCAAATGGGTTACTTTTTTATTGATTTCCTTGTCCTGCTATCCCTGACCAGCCCTCTTGAGTGAATGGAAAAGATAGATTAGAACATTAATGGTATGTTCAGTCGCCTCAGCAAGTGGATCTGATGATGTTGAGTGCTCCTGAAATAAGCTTTGGTCTGAGGTACAATCTCAGAGCCATGAGATTTAGTGGATGTATCTGCTGAGGTTATCATAGCTATGGGTGAGCTGTTAAAATATTTTAACAGCTTTTTTCCCCTTCCTTCTCATTCATCTTTCTTTAAACACAAAGTACATTTTAGAAAATAACATTAACTAAGCACAAAGATAGTATTACCTAGTAGTTTGGAATATGGAAGAAGTTTAGCAATGCAAGTTTAGTGAGTAATGTGGGAACACATTTCCCCAGAGTATGTATCCATTTTGTGTGCATTACTGTGTTTTTTAAAGGCATGTAACAATTGAGGATATCCCCTGTACTATACAATGCCTTAAGGTAATGTAAGTCTCTGTGTCCCTGGATCCTTTCCAGTTCTGCTGTGGCAGAAACAGCTTAAAGCTGAATTGAAACTGGTCTTGCTAAGAGCAGGGTGTTGTAGTTTTGACTGGCCTAAAAAAAGATAAATAAACACCTGTTGTTCTGGGTAAATACATTTTTTCTTCTTTTGTTTGTGGGAAAACATGGCTCTTCTCCCTCTGTGCTAGACCTCTCTGCTCAGAAGCAGCATCCTTTCCTAAACCCCTAAGCATCTCCTCTGTGGGGAGTGTGTGCTTATACAAAAATGTATTCACCCAGCAATCAGTGTGCTTGTTGGTCACAAAGCAAGAGGGTAACACTTCTGTTTTAGAGACTTCTCTCAAGGCAGAAATTGACAGAATCCTCCAAAAGGTTTCCTGGTGAAACAGATTTCTGATGTGGTCCAGCAATCTTCTGAGTCAAGTAGTCTGGTATTGCTGCTTTCTTTACACTTGGCTCACCTATTGAAGTTACTCATACTTCATCTTTGCACTGTAGTTGCACTTTGTTTTATTTCCCTCATCTTGTAAGCAGCAGTTTAGGCTCAGATCTAATGAAGTCACTCAGTGAATCAGCAAACTGCTTTTACTGCTTATATTGTAATCCAGCCTTGATGAGGAGCAGTCCTCCAAGGTGATGCTGATATTCTGCAGCTGATGGAATGGCTCATAAGGTCAGAGACAGCTTGATTATATATAGCAACAGCCCTCCAGCTGCACTGACTTGAGCTGAGCCAGCCACATCATTTACTACTACTCCAATCAAGATACTGTAGACGTGAGCATATGGAAATTCATGGCTTTTATTTGAAATTGCTTTTGTAATGATAATTCGGTCTCAAAGGTTACCTCAGCTGATTTTCATTTAGTATGACACAGTAGAATACCTAGTGGATCTGGGTGACATGATACAATGACTGTATGGGCATGTGTATATATATATTTTTGCTACCTATAAAAACTCATTCAGATGACAATACATACAGTCTTATGAGTGTTTCTGGTGCGTAGTGTATATGTACAAATTTTATTTTTGTACTCCCTAGGATGCCTAGTATCAGTGGTTTTTTACAACTAAAAAGAGGCTAGACAGGATACAAACTTTGGAAGTGACTGTACTAACCTCCTGTACTTCCAGCAGCCCAGAATCTCATCTGGAGAGGCTGGGTGGGGCACTGATGGCTCTTTCTATCAAAACCTTTTTATAGGCTGTAATATTTATAGATTTTTTGCTTACTTTTAGGCAAAATCTGATAATTCAGGTATAATTCATTTGTATGTAAATGGATGCATGTTCAGTTCTTTCTTTACCTTTTTTTTTATAATTTTTTTCCATAAGATGACATGTAGGGTTTTTTCTTTTTGCTTGATTGCTATTTACTAAATTCTTAATACTGTTGAAATGGAATGGGATATTGAAATTGCTAACTTGTATGAAAAGACAGACCCTGGAAATAAAATAACTAAAAATCTATTTCTTTTCAACTTTAAATCAATTTCATTTTTCAAAGTAACAATAGATC